CTTCCAAGCTCCCAAATTCCCACTCTCTCAAAGTCCCAAACTCCCAACCTCCCATACTCCCAAAGTCCCAAACTCCCAAATTCCCACACTCCCAAAATCCCACACTCCCAAATTCCCACACTCCCAAATTCCCACACTCCCAAATTCCCACACTCCCAAATTCCCACACTCCCAAATTCCCACACTCCCAAATTCCCACTCTCTCAAAGTCCCAAACTCCCAACCTCCCATACTCCCAAAGTCCCAAACTCCCAAATTCCCACACTCCCAAATTCCTACACTCCCAAATTCCCACTCTCTCAAAGTCCCAAACTCCCAAATTTCCAAGCTCCCAAATTCCCACACTCCCAAATTCCCACTCTCTCAAAGTCCCAAACTCCCAAATTTCCAAGCTCCCAAATTCCCACACTCCCAAATTCCCACTCTCTCAAAGTCCCAAACTCCCAACCTCCCACACTCCCAAATTCCCACTCTCCCAAAGTCCCAAACTCCTAACCTCCCACACTCCCAAATTCCCACTCCCCCAAAGTCCCAAACTCCCAAGTCTCCAACCCCCAAAATTCCCAAATCTCCAAACTCCCAAAACTTTAAATCTCCAAATCCACAAATCCCCAAATACCTATCTTTCCAAATACCTACACCAGCAAATAAATATAAAAAATAGCAATACCCTTCTGGAATATCCCAATCCTCGTTGTGAAAACTGCGAGAAGTCCCTGATGAGTACGTTCTTGATCAGCTCCAGATCAGTAACCACAATGGTAGGCGTTTTTCCTTGAAATATCCCGAACACAGGCTCATGCTTGAATTGATCGTACATGTTCTTCACGTGTTCGGTCATCGATACCTTCTTAAAAGCGGTCTCCTTCAAGTTACCGAAGAAGACCACGGGTTTCGGACCGCGAACATTGCGATTTTTCCAAAAATCAAAGGTTGCAGTGTAGTAGTAATAGAAAGAGAGTACCAGCACAAGCAGTCCACACAGAATTTGGAAGTAGTCAATCATGTTGCTGGTTGTCTACACAAATTTTCAATAAATACTAATTATTAGTTTGACTGAATTCTAGACGTTTGCAGCGAATGATTATAAGCTCTTGAAACTTCCAACGCGGGAAATATTAGAATGTTTCAGAAATTGCTTTCGAGAAATGTTCACGAAAGTAGTTGTTCAGAAAGATACGGGGTCTCGATACGAACGGTTACGAAAATGAAATTTCTTTGAATAGTTTTTGAAAGTAAACTTGGATTTCTCTTTTTGGCTGCTATTGTAACGTTCCACGTTAACGTCGCGCTGGACGAAGAAAATGAATTTTTTCTAAATTTCTGACGAGGGATTCTATCGATACGTTGAAACAGGTCGTTGCTAACTGCGGATGACGCCTTACCTTCGCAACAAGGCTTCCAAAAGTTTATAGAATTCTAGAAAATCCGTCGGCAGATTCACCGCATTTGTTGGAACGTTCAATTCTTGTACGTCGGCGAACCGGCGGACTTTCTGCAATTGAACGATCTTGTTGACTAAGGTAGAGCTCAGCTGATGTCGAATATTAAATCTGAGCCGAAAGATAACGGAGTGTCATGGGTCACCGCGGACATTTTAACAGAAAGAAATTGTGCAATTCTTACAACACGAGACGAGGCTTTTGTAAATAAACAGAAAAGTCTTCAGCAAGATACTAACTTTTAGCTCTTAAATGAAACTTATCGTTTTTACTCCAACGCGTGAATTCTTTCCTGATAGACTATCAACGATAGAATGTCCTGTGCGAATCCGGTTTTATCGTTTACAAATTGTATTTTTAATTATTTTTTGCGCTACTCGATTTCATCAAAAATGTACAAATTGCGTATGAAAATTTGTAACAAAACGAAACGTTTTATTTTTTGAAAAATTAATTTATTGTTTTCAAATATACTGTAGCTAAAATATTGTAATAGAAATTTATATTTTATTTTGACGTTGATGTTAAATAATATTATTTATTTATTATTATTATTAAACAAATTTTTTAGTGTATTATAATTATTAGTGCAATTTTTAATTTCTAAAATTTCTGATCTTTTCGTGAAAGTTAATTTGTATTCATTTCTCAGATCTTGTTTAGTCAGTTTGTTCGTTTCTAATTATGCAACACATAAGTAAACATTTTGAATAAACACTTATTTACGTCAAAATAGACATTTTGTAAGAAGCAGAAAATAATTTCTACATAATGTTAATATTTTGCATGAAATAGATATCCCTTTATTGATCTTTGATCCGCTTGAAATTTTGTTTGCTTCAGTTAGCTTGTTTTCTAGGCGACTAAGTTTGTATAGAAAAAGAAAAAATCTTTGCCGATAGCTAATCTGGTGTATGGCGGAAAGTTCTTCTTCTTTATATTTTTACATTATAAATCACCCCATTTTGTTATATGACATCTCAGTTTGAAAATATCTAAAATTAGAAAAACAAATACTAAGTTTCTAAGTTTCGAACTTTCCCCAAAATTACAAAAGCTTGTGCTTTTATAAATTCAAACTATTTATAAATTAATTTTTGTCTCCCCTTTTGTCATCTTTCCTTCGCATTTTTTTTTTTTTTTTGGTGAAACACAAAATTAAAGTACAATAGAAAATAAGCTTTCAAGGATAGATTACTCTTAACAAGAAAAATGGTATATTTAGGTTAAGTTCACTTACGAGTATAATAAAAAATGGGTGCTCAAAGAAGAAAGTCGTCGAAAAAAGTTTCTTAAATTCAGGCAAACACTTTATTCGTCAAAATAAGCATTATCTGAGTGTGTGACCTTTTTACAAATACGACTACATAATTGTATTAGTGCTAATCTGTATGAGTGTTGGTGTGCGTAATTGACGACATTTTCACGGATACCGACAGTAGAGGAGAAGGTACGAATGAGTTGGGGCACAAGTGTGAGATACCAATCATTTCTTCGGAGTACTCACATCTTTGATAGTTATTACAAATTAAATATTAAGAAGGTTATAATTGTTGCTCGTTTTTATGTTTTATGCTTCATCTTTCAATTGTAATGGATAATTTTTGTGTGTATTTGTTCAAGAGGAGTTTGTTTCCTTTTCTTTTGAGAAGCTTGAAAAAGGTGAGTGATTGTAATCCTAATTTGTGATTGTCAGCAAAGATTTCAATGGACTTACAAATTGTTGAGTTTCTAAATTTAGAAATTAAGAAAATTGATGTTTTTGAATTGTGGAGTTGAATATTTGTAAGTTTGTAAATTTGTAAATTTGTAAATTTGTAAATTTGTATATCTAAAAACTTGAAAGTTTGAAAGTTTGAACTCTACACATGTAGACCTTCCACACATGAATAATTCACATTTGATAACTTATCACAAAACAAAATTTGAGTACAAAACATTATACTACATTTCTACAATTCCAAATATATTCAATTTTTAAACAATATTTCTATCAACTTTTAGTAGACTTATCTCTCGTTAAAGTGTAACAAATTAACATAACAAGTAACCACAAAATACAATAAATATTTCAACTCCCACTTCGTAAATTCTAAAAATTCTAAAAATTTAAATTCTAAAATTCCAATAACTTTATTTCAAAACTTTCTTCAATATCACATAAATAAAAATAAGTCAAGTCCCTCGTATTTCAAGCAACTATTTACACATATTTCAATAAAAATAAATGTACAATCTACAATAGATCATAGAACAATAAAAAAAATGTTAAAAAATTTGAATGTGCTGTCTTACAAATTTTACTTGAACAATGCCTTTGAAATTTGCGGATCTAATTAGTTCTTTATTGACATGGGGTCAAGAGGCGTGCTGTTATCTCTCAGTTTTTTTATTTTAAGTCAGTTAAATCCGGTTAAAGGAAGAAGAGAGCCACTTATCGGTACTAGGTTGTTGCATATCAAATGTCATGTTACGAAATGTAGAAAGTGTTACATGATTCGGTTAAGTATCGCATAACAACGCTTGGGGTATGTATATCAATTTGTAGCCTAAGGTTCAGTGATAATTATACGTAACTAATTTATAACTCAATTACTACTGTACTATATTATTTTCTGGGTTAACATACTTCTTTGGAAACAGTGTGAGAGTTAAAATTTTTATAATTTTAGAATCTGTGTTATTTTAAAAATATTTAATATTTCTTGTATATTTTTTTGAGTAAGTGCAATGTGTATTAAAATTAATTTTTTTAGAGCTAAGTGTAAAGAGTATTAAAAACTTGTGAAAATATTTTTTTTTATTGTGATTCAATTTTTTAATCAGTTTCAACAAAAGAAAGAATTTATCTTCATCTTTTATTAAATTTTAATTTCTACCCTCCCATTTTGTGTTTCTCAAAATAAATTATTTATTACGGTATCTCTTAAGAGATATAATTAACTCTTAATTAATCTTGAGATACTTAATTAATTTTCATCAATACTTTAATTAAACACTGATGAAATCAAAATAGAATATTTAAAATTGAAATATTTATGTCTCAAACATTGTGAAATATTTTAATATTTAACTGTATATTTATAAAAATAAGAAACTAGTTTATTAGATTTAGAAAAAGCTAGCTTCAAAATTGTATTTAAATCAATTTAAAAAATGATGTGATTATCATTTAACATGACAGAATATTGTTCCTCTACGCGTTTTAGATAACTGCAAAAAAAACATGTTAAAGTTCAATGCGAAGACCGATTATTCCATCGAAACTGGTTACAACCGAATCGTTAAGAAAATCTACGTGCACTGCAATTAATTATGTAATTATGCTTTGATGGACGAGTTATTTGCGCTATAAACAAGTGGAATATGTATTAAGTTCAGATTTAAGATAACATTGTGTCATGGGTCATAGGAAAAATTTCGGAAGCAGTAAGCTGTGTTACAATACGAAATGAAATTTCAGTAAAAATTGTGTTTTTTTTAACATTTTACGGGATATTCCAGATCGTGCGGATTTTTCCACTATACAAACTTAGGATGCTTTTATCGAATTAGAAAGAGGACAAGTGTAGAGAAACTGAGATTATAACAGAACGAAGCTTCGTCTACGCAATTTCAAATTATTTTATAAATTCACTGGCAAGAGAACGTCTGATCTGCGTAAGTAAAAAATTTAAATATAATTAAAGGCACATAACACTATTAACAATTATTAACATAATTGATAATATTTCAAATTTGATAGTGTGTAATTATTTGCACAATATGACCGCCATTTTATACTTTTGCGAGGCTCAAACAATCATATTTTATGTCTTAAATAAACTTCAATCGATCATCGATGAGATAATACAAAACTTTGTATCTTTTCAGAAACTCTACAGGGTGCTTCACAGAATCTGTTCAGGAAGAAAGTTTGGAAAATTATCAAATTCATATAAGTGAACCAATGATCTAAACTACTTCTAAAGAAGAAAATGAAGTGTATAAACTATTTATATAAGAGCACTAAATTATATAAACGAACTATTTGCAAGTGGACTAAACTGAACAAAGGAAGTGTTTGTATAAGAAATCCTAAAATTCAAACAAATTCAAAACTTCACAGAAATGTATACTTCAAGTAATGCTTATTAAGATATCATTTTATGTTTCAGCAATATAACAATCCTGGGAATAATAACATCCTGAACAAGTCATATGTAGTAACTTAACCTAAGTTCAATAACCAAAGTTTGCAGTACATAAACAATTCTTCTTTAACCTCTAACAGAATTTAAACACAAAAGAAAAGGTACTCAAACTAATAAAAAGACTTAAGAGAGTCCCTACTAAGTTTTGAAGTGGGCCAAAAACAAACATTTTTGGATTTTAGTAATCCACCATTTTGTCATCATAGATCTGAATGGTTATATACACCTTGTTGTACAAGTAAGTTAAACTGAATAATTACCCGCAGTAATAGTAATTCCAGTCGCCTCCATCATTGAACATTGTCAGGCACTTTCTTGAGATCAACAACTTCCTCCTCCTCCTACCTTCAGCCCCTGCGGCCATATAACGAGACTACCGTATTTCTAAAGCTCCCCTCAATGTTTATACAACCTTATCAAAGTTTTTTCTTCACCTTCTTTCACCAAAATTTGCTCTTATACACGTGATACCCGTTAATTCTTCCTTAATCATTAGATGGAAGCACTCTCACACTTTCCCAATGGCTGACTTAAGCGTTACACTTCTTCTTTTATCCATAGAAGCTATGTATTTTCACATAAGCCAAAAAGGGCATGAAATTCATTATCTCTATAATCTTCCAGTTTAGTAACATCGTACACCATAACGTGTATTTTTGTCATTCAATAATTTCGTTATACTTTCTTTCATTGTTTTGAAACTCCTCAAAGACAGTAGCCTCTTAAATTGATAAATTTAACCCATGATGTTTATACATATTTAATATTTTATAATCAGAGTTGTACATCAACGTTCTTTTTATGGACCTTCGTGGACCCTCATTAGCAATGGTTTGGGACCAAATTGGTGTATCAATATGGTCTGTTCTTGAATGTGACATCATCCTTGTCCACGTACTGCCCAACGTAGATCATCAAGGACAATTATCTTAGGACCATTACCCAAAGTAGATTATCCATTATCTACTATTATCTAAGATCTTTGGGCCCAAATCCCCTCACAGTTTTCCTTGCCAAGTCAAGAATGCTTCTCGCCACATTGCTCTTCTGCCCGGCACGTGATCGTCGCGTGACAAATAAAACCTCTTCTTCGAGTACATCTTCCACTGTCCCCTTTTTTGCTGAAAGTAAACCTTTCGCATCTCATTTCCCACAAAACCTTATTCTGACAGTTAACAACACAAATTGCCTACTCACTGCTGCGTTCAACACTGATTTCAAAACGTATTCCTCCGACGCAGACTTTGTCGTTATGTGGAGACGAAGAATGGTGGGGAGCCGGGTGGAGTTTGGTTTCCAGTAATCTGAATGAAACAGACGGTTGTTTTATTGCTGATAAATGATTCATCACAATGGTGGTAACAGTTGGGTCCGGACCCTGAATCTCCCGGGCAAGGGTTAATTCAACTGTAATGTACTTATTGTTAGATTAAAATGAGTCACTCTGTATATAGCAGAACGTTTATTATTACACTCGTTCTTGTTTAATTTTGTAACGTGGATAAAGAGGAGCTTTATGAAGGGATAGCAACAGCTTTATGAAGGAATGCAACGTGCAATGTTCGTCATCTTTCAAAAAAATAAAGTTATTGAGTGCTCTTGAAGGTGGAAGAATGCTTAATAATTTTCAGCAAACTATGTCTGACTACATACGTCAGTTTCCACTGTAGTCAACGCAATAAATAAGGGTGCTATGAACACACGTGTTTTGCTGTTTCACACATATTTATTATATGTACAACTGCATATATGTGTTACATCAAAATTATAATATTAATAATTATACACATACTTGTGGGGAAAGGTTAGAAAAAAGCGCGGGAAAAGGAGCGAAAGCAGTGACGCGCAGCGAGAAAAGAAGAAAGCAAGAGAGTATCAGCTGATAAAACAGAATGGTGAAGGAATAAAGAGAGTGGAACATGACACAAACTGTACAGAAAGTGGAGTGCGAAGCGAATATAACGTGAAGAGAGTCAAAAGAGTTCTGAAGGGAGGAAGAAGAGAGAAGAGAGAATGGGATATTCTACTTCTATACAGGGCATTTCAAAAGTATAATCATTTATATATTCATTATAATTGATGCAGTTTTCTTTGTGTATATTTTTATACTTTCTGCTATTTCTCGTATTTTTGTAACAATTTTTAAGAAAGTGCTTTTAAATAATCTTTTTATAATATTATTTGCAGTGATGTTACATACAAGGCATTAAATACTAATTATCATATTAATTATAAGATTTATGAGATAGAAATATAACTAGTAGAAACTATTAGATTAAAATTTATTTATTCATAAATAAAAGTTGTTCAGAATATTGTTATTGACAACATATTTCAAGAGCATTAAAATTAAAGAAGAATTCTTAAATATTTAAACAAAACCTTTGACTCCAATGTATTCAAAATTTTAATTAACAATCGAAGTAGTCTTTGATTATGAAAATGTCACTAAAGGAACGTATGTTCTTTTCTAAAGAAACACAATTTTTTTGCGTTGAAACAGAAATAAACGCAATTTACAGAATCTGAAACTGATGTGTCTGGCCTTTGGTAGACTTCTTTGTTCAGTAATCAGAAAAAGCCGTGGTAAAAGATTATAAAGAGCAAGCATGTGACTGATTTCGGCACTTTTTGCGGCAGCCAATTACGCTGCGATTGGCGATAGAGAGGACTTTGAGGAAAGAGGAAGAAGATATGCGAAGCGAGAAGAGTCGGCTTCTTCCATTCACGTCATTTATTTTTTTTTTTTCGTTAGCTGACGCTGAGATATAAAATGGGGCGTGTCACTTTTAATATTTATCAATTCCCACATTCCTCAATTCCCACACCCCCCAATTCCCACATTCCCCAATTCCCACTTTCCCCAGTTCCCACATTTCCCAATTCCCACATTCCTCAATTCCCACATTCCCCAATTCCCACATTCCCCAATTCCCACATCCCCCAATTCCCACATTCCCCAATTCCCACATTTCCCAATTCCCACTTTCCCCAATTCCCACATCCCCCAATTCTCACATTCCCTAATTCCCACTTTCCCGAGTTCCCACATTCCCCAATTCTTACATTCACCAATTTCCACATTTCCCAATTCCCACTTTCTCCAATTCCTACATTCCCCAATTCCCACATTTCCCAATTCCCACTTTCCCCAATTCCCACATCCCCCAATTCCCACATTCTGCAATCCACAAATCCCCTAACCCAACCTCAACTGAGATTAGGAACATAAACTTCTGCTTCAATCTATGCAATAGCAAATATAATTAACCAAGATTATAAAAATAATAAATAGTGTCCAATTAAATTGTATTCAGAAGGCATTCAAGCTATAAAAAATCAATTACTAGCAATAAATTATATAATGACACTTTGCAACGTAAGCGAACAATTGACGTAGTAATCCGTCGTGAATAAAAAATATGCATGATGTTAAAAAATTCAGATAATGAAATATCGCAGGTCAGAAGAAAAATTTCGAAACCAATAAGTCACAGGTTACAATACGTGTCAGACTTTCGGTAAACAAATGTAACAATCTTCTTCGGGCATCGACATTTATTATGATTTTTAAATATAACTGAAATTAAAATTTTTCCATGATGCGTACTTAGGATATTATTATTATCGAAACAAGACTGGAGAAATGAAAATTATCTGCATCGATTTTAATTAAATTTCAATGTGTATAAATATAATATTTTTGTGTATTAATAATACATCTCGAATGATAAGCAATACGAAGACAATATGTGTCTTCACGTGTTTTCATATGTGTTTCAATATGGAGACAAATAATTCCGTAGTATTAATAGTTCATAAATATTTAAGATGAATATGGTTACATAATTATATTTGCTTCTAGACAATAAATATAGAAAATATAGAAAATAATATAGAAAATAAATAATTTTCTTCATTAATTTCTATTGAAAATTGTGTAGCCAAACTGTATCATTCATCTAATATTCAAATTTATTCTTTGAAACCATCAATCTTATAAAATTATATATAACTAAGTATATAATGTATAACAATATAATACATGGTAAATTTATTTTTTGAAACCATCAATTTTATAAAATTACACATAACTAAGTATACAATATATAATAATACAATACATGGTAAATAATCACATTCATACATAAACATTGTATGTACTTATATACTATAATCATTCGTATAAAAATATAAACATAGTAAATAACTACAGACGTATATATAAACTCACTATTGGTCATTAACATTTTATGTTATACAAGAATTGTTAGTTTACTATTTCCATATCTATCTGAATGCTACATAAGCATTTTCCTAGTGCACAATATTTGCTACAAGTTAGTATACAGTATATGTGTATATAAACATTCAGAGAGACCTCGTGCGGAGAAATTGAGAAACTCAACGATCTTTGTCTTCGACTTCATCGTAAAGCAGCCATTTTGTATAAAGACGTATCAGATTGTTCAGACACTTGTTTAATACGAAAGATTATTTTGCGCTCTGCATATGGCCATTAAGCTGCGATAATTTTGTTACTTTTAAGGTCACTCCCCCCTCGGGTGACAACAGCAATGCTTGCGGTTCGTGTTTGTATGGAATAATGGACTCCTCGCAAACATCAACTTTGTAGTTTCGTATGATCGATATAATTCCTACCTTGGCCTGGTAGTATGCGAAGCGTGCACCTGAAAATTAAAAAGTAAATTAAGTTTAAATTAGTTTAGATTTTTAGTTTAGAAGTCATGTACATAATTTTTCTATTGTAATTTAAATGTTGGAGTAATTTCGCACCTATGCAAATTCTTGGTCCATCACCGAATGGAAGGTAGCTCATAGGGTTTCTACTGGCGACCGCTTCTTCGGAGAATCTCTCAGGGTCAAATTTGTCAGGATTTGGATAAAAATTTGGGTCTGCGTGAATCCCGCTAGCTGGGATCCACACTTTCGTACCTTTTGGTATCGAAACTTTTGTACTTTCGAATGTGTAATCTGCCAATGCTTCTCGTGGTATCATCGGTAATATCGGGTACTTTCTTAACGTTTCTGTACGAAAAATAATTGTAGATTGAAAATTATACAAAATGTAATACAAATGTTATTAGAAAATTGTTATGTTCCTTTCAGGAAAGAAATTGTTCTTCTTTCGCAAATTTCTAGACTATTTGTATATTTATAGATTTTTACAGTGCTACGTTTCTACGTCTCTGCAATTCTACCAATCTACAATTTTACATTTCTACACCTCTGCCTCTCTACATTTCTGATATTCTGCACTTCTACATTTCCACATTCCCGTATACTCAATTTTTCAAATGTCTCAATGTACAGATTATCAATTCGACAAAGTTTGAAGATTTGAAATTTCTGTATATTTCTGTACTTCTATATTCCTAAACTTGTACATTCTTCAATTAGCCGATAATTGTGTCAAATTTAAGCTCAGTATTATAAATGTGACACTTCACGTTGTAAAAATATTCACTCTGTATGATAATACACACCTTTGAACACTTTGTCCAAGTATTTCATCGCCTTAACTATATCGTACGTTAGCTCTTTGCCATGTATCGCGTTACTTCGTACAATTTCCTCACGCAGTTTGTTCTGTACATCATGATTTTGTGCCAACTCGTAAAGAGTGTGAGCGATGGTCGTCGACGAAGTTTCAAATCCAGCCACGAAGAACACAAACGCTTGAGAGGTGAGGAACGTGTCTGTCAATTCTACGAAGCAATGTATTTTAATTGTCTCGCGTAATACACATTGAGGCGATAATAAGTTAACGACGGATATTGAAGCTAATAAACTGATGGAAGACGTTAAAAGATATACATAAATTGATGTTCATTGATTATTAAAATTGTTACAGGATGGTACATTGCTATTGTTTTTATGTTACACTACATTCTTGAATACCTACAAATCTCTGCATTCATAAATCCCTACATTCCCAAATTCCTACACTTCCGAATACATTTCCAAATTTCTATATTCCCCAATTCTATAATTCACGAATTCCAAGAGTTCGGTATTTCTACATTCTCCAATTCCCATATTCTCCAATTTCCACATTCCCCAATTCCTACATTCCCCAATTCCACGTTCCCCAATTCCCACATTTCCCAATTCCTACATTCCCCAATTCCACGTTTCCCAATTCCCATATTTCCCAATTCCCACATTCCCCAATTCCCACATTCCCCAATTCCCACATTCCCCAATTCCCACATTCCCCAATTCCCACATTCCCCAATTCCAAAATTCGCGAATTCCAAGAGTTCAGTATCTCTACATTCCCAAATTTCCACATTCCCCAATTCCCACATTCTCCAACTCCCACATTCCCCAATTCCCACATTCCCCAACTCCCACATTCTCGAATTCCTACGTTCCCAAATCCCAAGATTTCGCCATCTCTACATTCTCCAATTCTTACATTCCCCAATTCCCACATTCCCCAATTCCCACATTCCCCAATTCCCACATTCCCCAATTCCCACATTCCCCAATTCCCACATTCCCCAACTCCCACATTCTCCAATTCCTACGTTCCCAAATCCCAAGATTTCGCCATCTCTACATTCCCCAATTCTTACATTCCCCAATTCCCACATTCCCCAATTCCCACATCTCCAAATCTCTACATCCCCAAATCCCTCCCTTCCCATATTCCGAAATTCTCACATACCTAAATCGCTACAGCCCCAAATCGCTACATCCCCAAATTCCTACATCTCCAAATCGGTACATCCCCAAGTACGGCACGATTGGTCAGAATAGAAAAATGGCCTCGCACGTATTTTCGGCGATATATTGGCTCTCGCGGTCACCAATTAGTCGAAAAACGATGACAGTGAAGTCTCTCAAGCGAGCATACATGCGCGAAAGCAGTTGTCATTATTATTATTATTTGTATGTAACTGGAAGGGTTCATGAGGAGCTTCTTTTACTTTGCGTCCTCAATTGTAACTTACCAGCAGTGGGCACCTTTTCAGGATGATCTCGAAGATCAATAAGAGCGTTGATAAAGTCCGGTCTATATATATTATGTGCTTTTCTATATTTCATCGTATCTATCACCACTTTTATGAAGAAGTCGCTGACTCCAACGGCCTGTAGATAATCCCCGATTATATTGTACAATCCGGGAAGAAACTGCCTAATCGCGGTCCTAACTGTGGTCCGAATACAAGGCTCAAAAAATCTTCTACCCATTTCACGAAATTCGCTATTCTCGTCCGAGAGGGCTTTCGTTTCGATTCCAAACACGCAGCTGCCGATTACGTCGGTTGTGAATTTGGCGGCCAGTTCACGGCACTCTATTGGTTTGCCTTTGTTCACCAATTTGTCTAAATATTGTTCCAATTTCACTGCACAGTCTACTATCAGAGGAAACATCTCCTTCATTTTGCCGGAAGTGAACACTGGCGAAAGTTTTGCCCTCACTGGCTTCCATCTTTCGGACTCCAAGAAGAACAGATGTTCGGACAATGGTTCTACCTGAAAATTTTTAAGCTTTTCTCAGTTAACTGTCGCTGTGGAGTATAATGCTATGTGATAATTATTGTATCTTTTAAATATTTTAACTTTGAAATAAATTCCTAAAATTCGATATTTTTAAGTATCATTAAAAATTGGCGCAACACGTGCGCCCACATACAGCATCCCTGAATGAATTCTATAAGTTAAAAGCTGTACACTGATTTTTATAAAGACAAGTATCTAGTATATTGATTAATTTTTATTGATTGAATGATTGAATGACAATGAAGTACCCTTTTGTAATATGGTATCCCTCGATCAGCAAATACATTGAAGTCCCTGACTAGAACATTCTTGATCTCATTCGTATCGTTGACCATCAGCGTAGGAGTCCTTCCTTCAAATATCCCAAACATCGGTTCATTTTTATAGTCGTCGTACAATTTCTTTATGTGCTCGCTCATCGATGCTTGCTTGTAGAATATCTCCTTAAAATTTCCGAAAAATGCTTGTGGTGTTGGTCCTGGTACTTTTCGAATCTTCCAGAAATCATAGGTGGAAATGTTGTAATAGTACAGGGAGAGGAACACTATGGCAATGCCGCAGAGTATTTGAAAATACTCGATCATGGTGCACCGGGTTCTATAAGCAAAGCTTAAACAAATATAGGTTAATTAGTAATAAATTCAAATTTGATGTATTAAGAAAGTATATCAATGTACACGTGAAGTTTATATTGAAAATAAAACGAATCTACGATTACAAATCGTACCCTTCAAGTATGCGTGCACTCGAGAGATAATTGAACGAGTTCATCTTCGATTACAAATTTTCGTACGCTTGAAGTACGTATGCACTGAAGAAATACGGAAATCTGCATGGACAAGTTCATGTACGATTAAAAAATTTAATGTACTTAAAGTACGCAGGCACTCAAGAGATACGGAAATGTGGATGAACCAGTTCATCTTCGATTACAAATTTTCGTACACTTCAAGTACGCGTGCACTCGAGAAATACGGAAATGTGGATGAACCAGTTCATCTTCGATTACAAATTTTTGTACACTTCAAGTACGCGTGCACTCGAGAGATAATTTGGTTGAACGATTCCACTGATTACTAATTTTCGTACTCAAGTATATGTGCACTCAAGAGATACTGAAATGTGGTTGAACGAGTTCATCTTCGATTACAAATTTTCGTGCATAACAAGTATACGTGCACTCACGATATATGTAATTTGAACGGGTGCATCTTTGATTAGAGATTTTCGTGCATTTTAAGTACTTCTATACGAAAAATGACACCCTCAACGTTTGTACCTCGATTTTCGGTACATTTTGTATATATCATTCTTAAAATTTTGTGTAGATTAAAAGTGATTTGAAGATAAATATCAAGGGGTGGTTTTTACTGAATGTTTTGACATATTAAATTTATTCCTTTATTTATTTTTTTAACTTAATGGTTTTTTTTTATTTTTAGGAGAATTAGTTACTACGACGATATTTAGCTATTTTTGTTACGTATATCTTCAAGTTTTTAAATTATTTTTTATTAATTAAGTGAGAATGTTCCTCATGAAATGAATTAGGTCGAATTGAAATTTATACGTCAGTCAAATGTTAGTTTCATGATAGTTACCGTATTGTTCAAAATTGCTTGCTAAATTATTCGTTTAATTCAATAAAAAATAACATTCTTTAAAAAATATTTTGACAAATTGACATTGACAGTTTCACACTGACACCAGAGTTTTGAAATTAAAATTATTAAAATTGACTTTAAATTTTTAATTCGAAATTATAGTTCAACAAATCTTGAAATCGATAATTTAATGTAGCAACACATACTGTAATAACATTTCACTAATTCAATAATGATTTTTAATTATTAGCTTAAAATTGACACCACACTTTAATTTATTCAACATTATATCAGTAAATAATTTTATGCACTAATTTTCGAAAGTTTCAATTTTAATAATTTCGTATAAATGAATTCTTATAAACTCAGAACCGTAGAAGTGCGAAAGTTAAATAAATATTGCTTGTCTAAGCAATTTCAAAGATACATTTTGAAAATATTATAAATAATTAATATTAAATGTTAAAAATAAAATAGCAAAATAATAATAAAATAACTTAAAATTAAAGAAGGTTATTAAAAATGAAAGAGCGATACTTACCACTCTTGTGAATTAAAAAATTCGTTGAAAATATTAAGCAGAGGTGGCTGACAGATCGGATGCAGTTCCCATTCGACCCTTCTCACTGTACCCAGCCTAAACACGCTACTAAAACAAAAATCGACTTTCCGAGTCCGTAAAAATTGAATCCGTTTCTTTGGGGGACAACTTAAATATCTGCCATCAGCTGCGATTGGCCAGCGGTTTTTAAGGCGTTCAAGGTCATTTCGGATCACTGCTATCGCTTCTTCTTGCCGGACCTCTCATTGACATTCCTAATAATAAGAATTATTTTTAAATACTGATTGAGTAATTACCCTTAACTACATAATTAGTAAATATTATAAATATAACCATAAGAGTGATAAATATAATGATAAATAAAAATGTTATAGTGTATGTGTTATACCAGCACAGAGTTCAAATAGTACCATTATAAATAAATTTCTAATTAAAAAAAAATTATATATGTTTGTACAGGAGTTGCTGAAAGATATATTTAATCCTTCTATTTTACGGGAAACAATTTTTCACTACAATATTTTTACTAGCGTAACACTTTCTGGACTTACACCTGTTTTGTCAAATTATTGATTAATCTGCAGGCGATAAAAGTGTGATTTCAATTTACTTAGGGTGACGATACCAATAAACATCAAAGTACTTGACACACTTTGTTATGTTAAGGTGTTATCTTGTCGTTAGGAGTCAGTGAAGTTGTTGAAACATTTTATAGTTGAAATTCGCGATTCTCTTTTGAGCAAGGAAGTGTAACGTCGAAAATATTTTATTTAACACGTAGACAGTAGTTTATGGTACATTACAATGAACAACAATTTATTTTACAGTAAATAAGATCACGAGACGTTAGTTTTACATGAATTTAGAGTAACAGCAAAGACAGCTGCAGATATCATTGATCACCTGTTCAGTATCAGGTTATTGTGGTCGAACACGACAGATACAGGAAGTGATTTATTCCATCAAGGCAGTATACAAATGCAAAACTGCTTACTTGACATTTACAATAACAATTCAATATTTTTTGCTGAAACTGATAAATGAACAATATTGTCTTGAACTTACTATCGTTCTTTTTTTTAAACATTGTAGGATGCACTTAGAAGGAACTCTTAAGATTTTAAGTTTGAAACACTTCTCCAGTTTTGAACTTAAAAAATTTGATTTAACATATTTGTTACTATTATCAAATTTTATTTAAAACCCTTATACTTGTACACCACTTTATTTAGATTTGATAGTACTGCTATTTAACTCTATTTATATTAATCATACTACTATCACACTACTTAGCTGCTACTGTTATACTTTAGATTACCTGCCACTATTATGCAACCCCATTTAGATTAGTCATACACTGATACCCTATTTTATTTACCATAATCGTTATAATTGTCAAACTCGTAAATTAATGTTTACTATAAAACTTCTTTATTCGCATCAGTTTACAGTCAATTTAGAACAATCAGTTCTACCCCATTTCGATTCATAAATATACTTGCAACTATCACTTTACATTCAATTACTCACCGTCATCACAACTCTTTTTATATTAATCACACTTACCACTATAGATTTAATCTGCTTAGATTAGTCTTACTACTTAAACCGTGACTGGTACACGACTAATCGCATTCTACTTCCTGACCAGCAGACGCTGCCATCAGGGTCACTTGTAGCCAGTAATTATGGTCAGTTATATCAGGAAGAAGTCACGCAAGTGTCGATGCAATTTGTTGCTTATTGCACTAAATACAACGTTAGCTGTTAATGAGGTACTTTTTATTACAAATAGGATACATATCCGCACTTCAACAAAACTATTTGTTTATATGTCTGCGCATATTTTTACTTTCAAATGTCATGTTTAATATCGGTTGATTCATACGAGACTATTATTATTCAAATGATTCAGCTTTTTTGTCTGCTCGCAATGGTGTATACTGATCATGCAAATGTAACACAACATTTATGGAAGTTAACAACAAAAGCTTGATTTTAGACAAAGTTAAGTATGAAGTTTTATATTCTTTATCGTTAAAAATTTAATTCTTGTGATTGTGGTGTGGTTACAGTATTTTAATTTTTACATACAATCAAATAATAATTTATTATTTTACATAAATAATTTATGAAGTCATCAATGGTGCATGAATAAATATTTCGTATAAATTATGCACTTAACACCTAATAAATGTGTGATTAAACTTAATTAGTACAATCATGATAAACATTTTATAATATTCCAGAACGTGTTGACAACATGATCGTTTAAAATAAATTACTCATTTAGGGATAAAAAAATATCGTTTATTAGTAACATTTTCATTATACAAAATACAAAAACACATTAACTATCGATCTTCGTGATTTTTATATATAAACCATTTTTCGGACACATTATAAAAGCTAGTGGATCAAATTCAAAAGGAATTTCAGTTTTCTCAGAAACGTCGCACTTGAAATTTCGGATAATCGTTATCAATCCTATCTTCGTTTGATAGACTGCAAACCTTGCGCCTGGAACAGATAATAGACAGCGATAACATTAATAAGACAATTAAAATATTCCGTTAGCGACAAGGTACTAAAGTACAAGGATCGTGGTATTAAATAATTCTTTTCTCAAGCGTAATCTATCGATAACAGCAGAGAGGATCAAAACTAAATTCAATTAATGTTTGCATCAAGATTTCTTTTAACAAGTAATATGTGATATATGTACAAAATACACTGCTCAGATGCCCGAGAGGAGACTCGTGGGCAGTAGGGCGTATGCTGTGTGTAATTGAGAGCTGATGATGTATGGAAGTTTTAGGAAGTGGAGATAATTTGGAGATTTGGAAGTTAGGAAGTTAGAGTTTGGGAATTTGGAGATTTGGGATTTGGGAGATTTGGGATTTGGGAGATTTGGGATTTGGGAGATTTGGGATTTGGGAGATTTGGGATTTGGGAGATTTGGGATTTGGGAGATTTGGGATTTGGGAGATTTGGGATTTGGGAGATTTGGGATTTGGGAGATTTGGGATTTGGGAGATTTGGGATTTGGGAGATTTGGGATTTGGGAGATTTGGGATTTGGGAGATTTGGGATTTGGGAGATTTGGGATTTGGGAGATTTGGGATTTGGGAGATTTGGGATTTGGGAGATTTGGGATTTGGGAGATTTGGGATTTGGGAGATTTGGGATTTGGGAGATTTGGGATTTGGGAGATTTGGGATTTGGGAGATTTGGGATTTGGGAGATTTGGGATTTGGGAGATTTGGGATTTGGGAGATTTGGGATTTGGGAGATTTGGGATTTGGGAGATTTGGGATTTGGGAGATTTGGGATTTGGGAGATTTGGGATTTGGGAGATTTGGGATTTGGGAGATTTGGGATTTGGGAGATTTGGGATTTGGGAGATTTGGGATTTGGGAGATTTGGGATTTGGGAGATTTGGGATTTGGGAGATTTGGGATTTGGGAGATTTGGGATTTGGGAGATTTGGGATTTGGGAGATTTGGGATTTGGGAGATTTGGGATTTGGGAGATTTGGGATTTGGGAGATTTGGGAATTTGAGAATTTGGGAATTGGGGAATGAGGGGATTGGGGAATGTGGGAATTGGGGAATGTGGGAATTGGGGAATGTGGGAATTGGGGAATATGGGGATTGGGGAATGTGGGAATTGGGGAATGTGGGCATTGGAAAATTATAGAATTGGAGAATATGGGAATTGGGAAATTATGGAATTGAGGAATGTGGGAATTGGGAAATTATGGAATTGGGGAATGTGGGAATTGGGAAATTATGGAATTAGGAAATGTTGGAATTTGGAAATTTGGGAATTCGGAGATATCATCAGTCTTTGGCCAATTTTTGTCTAAAATTTTTCTACGCATTTCTTTTGAGCAGTGTATTTTTACTTACCGATACAGTTTCTTGGGCCATCACCGAAGGGTATGTAATTCATCGGATGTCTACTTCTCACAGCCTCCTCCGAAAACCTTTCTGGGTCAAACTTCTCTGGATTCGGGTAAATAGCTGGATCCCTGTGAATCGAAAACAGAGGAATCCATACTTTGTCGTGTTTGCGGACTGTCAGTTTCGGATTTTCGAACGTGTAATTTTCTGTTGCTTCTCTGCTTAGGAACGGTAATGGCGGGTACTTCCTTAACGTCTCTGTAATGAAATCAAACAAAAATTTATTATAACATCGCATTCTTTTGTATATTGTAAATATTGTATATATTGTGAAATAAAATATTCACCTCGAAAGACTTTGTCCAAATACGTCATCTGTTTAACAGCTTCATATTTCCATTCGCCATTGTTCTTCGCATCGAATTCCCTAATTTCCTCTCGCAGCTTGTCTTGGATATCTTGATTTAGAGCCAACTCGTACAAGGTATTGGCTATCGTTGTCGACGAAGTTTCAAAGCCAGCCGCGAAGAAGACGTATGCTTGTGCGGCAAGTATCGTGTCTGTCAATTCTGAAATGTGACGATACATCTTATGATTAAAGTTTGTTAAATTAAGATTAGCTTAATTTGTAAGAAACATGAGATTGATCAGCAAGTGTCAGACAAATTTGAACATTAAGAGTAGTAAATATTTTAGGTTATAAAAAAATTCAGGAAAAATGGTGTCACGTAGAGTCCACTAACAACATGTAATTTAGCACTCAAAAACTATCTCGTATTTTATGTACAGCGTTCAAATAACTAATCTAATTTAATAATTCGTCTAAATATTAAATATCAAAGTTTCCAGCCAACTTAAGCTAATTGAATTAAATTAAATTAAACTTGCTAAAATTAAATTTGCTGAAATAAAACTCACGTATGTCGCTGACCCTCTCCGGGTGATTCCTCAGCTCCATAAGAGTGTTCATAAAATCCGGCCTAACAATATTATTCTTCTTTCTATATTCAATCGTATCTATGGTAACATCCTTGATAAAAGTCATCGCTTTATCCATAGTCATTACATAGCCAAATAAATCATACAAGAGAGGCAGACATTCCTTTATCCGGAACTTCACAAGTGCCGTTAAGTTAGTAGCAAAGATGTGCCGGCCAACCTCGCGGAATTTGCTCTCCTTTTCCGACAAGGAATTCATGTCGATTCCAAATGCACAGCTTCCGATCACATCGGTTGTGTATTGAGCCGCGAGTTCTCGGATTTCGATGGGTTCTCCTTTCTCTACCAAAGTATTTAGGTATTTCTCGAGATGCGTGGCGCAGTCGAGAATCAAGGTGAAAGTTCCTTTTAGTTTGCCGGATGTGAAGACGGGAGATAACTGAGTTCTTAGTGGACGCCATCTTTCGGCCTCCAGAGAGAACAGGTGTTGAGATAATGGTTCTGCCTGTAGTTAAACAATTTTGTTAATATTTGCATGTAATAGAATGTCGATATAAAACTACTGTAATGTATAGAATAAGCTATTTGTGCATGAGTTAGTGTTATGGGTTTGAGTCTCAGTGGACGCCATTTTGGCCTCCAGAGCGAACAGGTGTTGAGATAATAGTTCTGCCTGTAGTTAAACAATTTTGTTAATATTTACATATAATAGGATGTCGATATATAACTAATGTAATGTATAGAACAAGCTATTTGTGCATGAGACAGTGTTATGGGTTTGAGTCGCAGCGGACGCCATTTTGGCCTCCTAAGCGAACAGGTATTGAAATAATGGTTCTGTCTGTATTCAATCTTATTATTTCCACAAAATATTCATGCGAAGCTCAATGTACACAGCTACTTGTACATAAGTTGCACTTGTACTACTCGTACAAGCTACTTGTGTATAAGTTACTGAGTAGGTTATGTAATCTTTGGGAAAATAGAATAATTTCCCACACTCGAAGATTTATAACACAGAGTAGGAAGTTTTCTACGCACTCTGTTTACATCTTGGAGGCCGTTTGGTAACACTATATTTATAAAACATTTATGTTAATGATGTATGCATCATCAATCAGCAATTTGTCTAAAGAAAAAATATCGATGTTTTAATTAATTTGCTTCGAGCAAATTGCAAGTTGTGTGAACCACTTTAGATTAGGTAAAATTATATACTAACAGTTTGATGTTAATAATGTATTAGAAATAAGAAATTACATACAAGAATTGTTCCACAAAATATTTTAAAAAAACACAAGTTTTCAACACTATCTTCTTAATAAAAATTTGTTGAAGTTTGCAGTGTACAGTAAAATTCTTGTACAGTAAATTTTATTTGAATTAAATTTTAGTAAAATTAAATTTTATTTGTCAATAAATGAGTGAATATTTTTATGCAATGTACTTACTATCTCGTGCTTCAAAAAACCACGATTGGAAATTTGGGAATTTGGAGATTTGGGAATTTGGAGATTTGGGAATTTGGAGATTTGGAAATTTGGGGATTTGGGAATTTGGAGATTTGGAAATTTGGAGATTTGGGAGTTTCGAGATTTAGGAATTTGAGAATTTGGGAATTTGGGAATTTGGGAATTTGGGAATTTGGGAATTTGGAAATTTGGAGATTTGGGAATTTGGGAATTTGGGAATTCGGAGATTTGGGAATTTGGGAATTCGGAGATTTGGGAATTCGGAGATTTGGGAATTCGGAGATTTGGGAATTCGGAGATTGGGGAATTCGGAGATTTGGGAATTCGGAGATTGGGGAATTCGGAGATTTGGGAATTCGGAGATTGGGGAATTCGGAGATTTGGGAATTCGGAGATTGGGGAATTCGGAGATTTGGGAATTCGGAGATTGGGGAATTCGGAGATTTGGGAATTCGGAGATTGGGGAATTCGGAGATTTGGGAATTCGGAGATTGGGGAATTCGGAGATTTGGGAATTCGGAGATTGGGGAATTCGGAGATTTGGGAATTCGGAGATTGGGGAATTCGGAGATTTGGGAATTCGATTTGGGAATTTGGGCATTTGGGCATTTGGGAATTTGGGAATTTGGGAATTTGGGAATTTGGGAATTTGGAAATTTGGAGATTTGGGAACTTGGAGATTTGGAAATGTGTACTTACTATCTCGTGCTTCATAAAACCACGATTGGCAAATTTAGAAAAATCCTTGATCAGTACATCTTTGATAATATCAGGATCCTGAACGATCAAAATGGGTGTCCTTCTCGCGAATATACCAATCATTGGTTCATTTCTATACTTCATATAAAGATCAGTGAGGAACTGTGCTAACGAGACTGTCCCTATCATGGGTGCCAGAACATTTCCAAACATTGGTATCGGTTTTGGCCCTGGTATTCCACGACTTTTCCAGAAATTGAAGTTCCATATGAAATAGTAGTAGAGCGCCAGACACGCCGCTGCGAGACCGAGGATTATCTCCAAATACGACGCCATTTTGATTTAGAACCGGACTGAACAACTGCACATAATCTGAAAACTAAATTATAAAATATTGTGATGTTAAGTGATTAATGAATTACAATTATTAATATTTTAGAATTAAAACAATTAGTAATTAGAATTAAACAATTAGTAAATTAGTTTACAACTCGTTGCAATGAAGTGATGTGTCAATTTGTTCTGTAACGGCAAAGTTATGTTCATTTTAATAGTTACACTAATTGTAATCTTCTGGTAATATTGTTCTGAATAAGAATTTCACTTTAAACTACTAAAGATATTATTAACAATATTTCAGCTCAAATTATATCATATTATATTATATTTCATATTATAGTTAAATAATTATTTAAAGGAAAAGAATCAACTTCATCTTGATCTAAACTTCAAACTTGACTTCAATTACTATGACAAAAATACATAAGAAAAATTTATAAGTTAATTACATACAAATAAAGAAAATTCTTATAAAACTCAGAGAAATACTTAACGAATGTTTCGAGTTCCAAGAACAGATGAAGATTGCACGTTAATTAAGAAATTTGGTATTCTTACACGTAAAATATGTTAACGTTAACGCAAGTTAAATGTTAAGACAAAATGTTTTCACTCCCGTTCAGCATCCCGTATTCTTTAAACCTTAATATCTCTGACAAGTTAATTGCATTTATCTTCTTTCTTGAGCTTTGTTGAACTGACACGAACGATAAACAGATGATAAATGCTTTAAAAACGTTCTTATATCAAATTCAGAAATAGGTAAGAATAAATTGCTTCATTTATACTTGTTCAATTATCTATTTTCATATTTTTATTTCAAACCTTTTGTTTTTTTAACAAGTTGATCTTCGACAAAATTTTTGTGACACATGTAACTGTAATGAAACTACTTACTTCGATGGAGTTCGTTGCTAATATACCGCATGAAATAATTTAATACCAATTGATAGTAAGTTCACATACATAAACAAACTACACTGTTCATTATCGATAAAATTATCAGCAACCACTTTGACGTCTGTAATTACAATTGCTTGTTATACTTTTAAGCTACGTCAGGAACAACAATGTATATTTCTTTAAAAAAAATGTTCAATATACAAAAACTATATGTTTCACAATTTTTTATTTTTACTCAAAACCTTTCTTATTATTAAACAATTACTATTTACAATACTTAACAAAATATTTATTCTTCAAAAATTACTAAAATCATGCAACAGAATCCCTTCATGAATCTCTTTATTTTGTTTAAAATTTATGAATGAAAAAAAATGACAACAAATGATTTATCCATAGAAATATGTGTATTAAATTTGTTACCACAATTTATATCACACGTGATGATCTTCGTACTAGACTGACACTTTATCTCAACTCCCGGAAGAGATCTGCAATGACTGACGAATAATCGTAGAAACTAACTAGTTCCCACTCCGGATTCAATGTCGTAACAGTAGTAGTAATCGGTGAATTTACTGAGTCAGAAATATTTGACGTAATGGTCATTAGAGCAGTTTGCATTTCTTCGCTTAAGGCTTAATGATATTGCAATTTAATAGGCGCTGTTTTATAAACGATCCGTAAATACGATATGAGGAAGATAATAATTGATAAGGTGATAACATGGTGGGGCTTGACATATAACCCTACCTTCACATATAGCATAGTACTGTGTGGTTAACGGCTATATGGGGTATGGTCACGTGTACTCAGATGCCCGAGAGGAGACTCGTGGGCCGTAGGGTGCATGTCGAGGGTAATTGAGAGCTGATGATGTATGGAAGTTTTAGGAAGTGGAGATAATTTTGAGATTTGGAAGTTAGGAAGTTAGAGTTTGGGAATTTAGAGATTTGGAGATTTGGAGATTTGGGAATTTGGAGATTTGGGAATTTGGAGATTTGGGAATTTGGAGATTTGGGAATTCGGAGATTTGGGAATTTGGAGATTTGGGAATTCGGAGATTTGGGAATTTGGAGATTTGGGAATTCGGAGATTTGGGAATTTGGAGATTTGGGAATTCGGAGAGGGGAATGTGGGAATTGGGGGATGTGGAAATTGGGGAATGTGGGAATTGGAGAATGTGGAAATTGGAGAATGTGGAAATTGGGAAATGTGGGAATTGGGGAATGTGG